AGATAGATAGATAGATAGATAGATGATAGATAGATAGATAGGTAGGTAGGTAGGTAGATAGATAGATGGAGGGATGGAAGGACAGATAACAGAGGTATCAAAAAAGAACATCGAAAACAAGGAAGAAAAAATAAAAGAATGAGGAAATGACAAATTTACACAACAAAGATAAAAATGATGTAGAAAGAGGAGTTTAAAAAATTATTGATAATTATGGAATTTTTATCATCTTAATGAATCAGACAATCTAAATTCTTTACAGCCAGTTTTTACGTTACAGATTATTCAAATTGTATATTTATTTGGAATTTATTTATATTTTCAAATGAACAGATAAATTAAATATTTTTTTTATTTTATGCAACATGTTTGTATATCGATGTCATTATGTTGCACATCAGATACAAAGGTCCTGTAAGTCCTATAGAAAAGTAAAACACTTAAACTACAGGCATATACACGATTTATTCTGATGTTTTCAGTACACCTTTTTGTACAACTCTTATGTTTTATTTGAAAACTTTTCTTGACTCTAACTTTAATTTAATTCTAATTGAACTAATGTGGTCCACTTCTCGATTATTGGATTTTAGTTTCTGATTTTACCATATTTTTTTGTGTGTTTCTTCATTTGTGTTCAGTTCTGGATGTCTCATCTATTACTTTATTATTGTTATTGTTATTATTAATTATTATTATTATTATTATTATTATTACATTATTTTAGCCAGTGAACTGTTTTAAATGGGGATATTATGCAAAATTGACTTTTTTAGAAAATATGTTTCATTCTACTCAACATTCTTAAATATCTTATGTCTTGTTTTCAACATTTTGTTTCTCATTCGGTTATTTTCCATGTAAAAACAGCCACTGTAAGTTTTATTGATGTAACTGTCCAACTCTGCAGTTGCTTTAAATCAAATTTTATATCTTTTGGCTTCAATTTTGCCCAATTTTTAGTCATTTTAAATAACATCTTTATTTCTGTATCAGATAGGATGTTTTTTTGTCCCTTCCTGCGGAATACAAGAATTAATTTTTGGGCCCTCGAGCCTTTTATCGTGTGTCTGTTCAGACTCTGTACAGTAATCTGTCCATGTTTCTTGTCTTATCATGGAAACAGAGAAAAGGCAGAAGCCGGCTGATTGAATAAACTTCAGTTTAGAGTAAAACCCACAGTCTGCTCCTGTTGACTTACTCTGCATGGGGACAACAGGGGGGTGTTGAGGGGAGGGGGCAGAGAGGGCGGTGGGAGGTGGAGTGCTGGACCTCCCTTCTCCGTCGGGAACGGGCCCTGAACCCCGGCGCACCGAGCCCAGCAGGTCAGAGAACTTGGCAGCAGCTGAGTTTGAGAAGGTTTAAAACCAAAAAGGTGACCTCATCTGTGAGATCAAAGCTCCTTCCAACAACAGAAACAGCAAAACCAGCAGGTCGACAAGTGAATGTGGACATTATTCAAACTGTTATAGTTTCAGAGTCCATGCTCAGGAAAAACCAACAGGACTGAGCTGTTATTTTATCAGAGCCCATAAGAGGGAGACAAGTCCACAGGATCACAAAGAAAACAACTGAAGATGTTTTCATCATTTGAAGCATCTGAGTTAGTTGTTTTACACTCTTAAAGCTGTTAATAAAGAGTTTAACTAAATCTGCACAAGTCAGGGTATCTCAGGGATTTAGTGTTGCAAAATAAACAAAAAGCAGCTGATCTTTGCTTTTAATGCAAGCGGGGACTGATTGAACAAACAAAAGATGTATTTCCTGAGTAGATAGAGGATGTTTTGTTACAGGCAGCAGCGTTTGTGCGGCTGAGCCGACTTACAGTGAGCAGCAGCTGAGGAGCCCTGAAAGCTTTCAGGCTGGGAGCTGGTGCTGGACTGCGCCTTAAACGAGCTGTTGTCTAAGTTCTTTCCTGACGACATGTGGGCACACACACACACACACACACACACACAGACACACACACAGAAACCAAACAAGTATTTCAAGACATGACAACCAGATGGACATTTTGCACGACAGATGAGAGAACTGGCACAGAGACGATGCCGAGAAACGCATCCCTTCAGCTGCAGCGAAAACCATTTTCTCTGCTAACGACTCAATTTCTGCTGGATTTACAGCTGTAGCTGCGGTTTCATTGAGACGACAATGTGAGCTTTGCCAGTGAGCAAAAACGATGATGATGACGATGACTGTGATGGCCACGATGATGAGGAAGGTTACTCAGGCTTGTCAGTTTAATCCGCTGGGACGCATATGTGAAAATGACAAATAAATGGAAAGAAAAGGAAAAGAAACTCAAGGAGAAAGTTTAAAGGTTCTTCCTGCAAAACTACAAAATAAAAGCTGAAAAGGTTGTCATGAATGATATCAAATGGTGCATTTTGAAGAGTTGTTTTTCCAAAAATATCAATATGAATTTCTGAAATGTGGGTACACGCTCAATGTAAACAAAAAATATCAGTTTAATTTGCACTCCCCCATCTAAAAAACAAAGGTTATCAACAGAAATCAAGGAATAAACATAAAAGAGTCAAATTGTTTGATGGACAGATGATGTTTGATAAATTTGCGTAGTATAATAAGGAGAATGCTGTTAAGTGTTGAAACCAACACAACAAGAACATCCTCCAAACGCTCCAGTGTTGAGTTACAAACCAGCTGTCCGGCATTAACCTGACCAGATCCCACAAACACCAACAGGTCACGAATTATTCCAAACACAAGTCCCCCCCTCCCTCTCCTCCCACACTCACCTGGCTCCTGAAGTTTTCTCTGCACTATCCCCCCGTTTGTATCTTAAGAGTGATAAAAACGCTGCGTGAGACGAATTCCCTCCAGGGGTGGCGCTAGCAGAGCGGCGTGCGTTCGCCGAATCGCCTCTCTGAGCGGTCTGTCTCTGCTCTCTGCCACCGAGGTTAAATTTAGGGCTCCCCTTTTAGCCCTGACTGCCGAGCCAAGAGGAGGAAGGTGGGGCAGAATACCTTTATGTATAAAGGGCCCTAACACGAGAGAAGAATGGCTTAAAGCAGGGGTGCCCAAACTTTTCCACATTAGCTTCTGACCGGGAC